ATGAAGATCCTACTGGCGTCACTGGATTCAAACGCTTTACTGTCAGAATTCCTATTATGACTTGAACTAAATGAAAACCACGATACTCTGATTCTAACAATATGACGTCCAAAACACAGCCTCCTTTCCTCTCCCTCAGGCCCTCGAACTCTGCCCCCGCCCCGATCCTCGGTACCACTGACCTCATCGATACAGTTGTGCAGTGGCGGCGCCAGGCGCAGAAACTCGGGGGCCAGTCGCTGGTGGGCGTAGGGCGCCGGACTGCTGAGGACACCCTCCACCGTGCGGCGGGTGACGTTCTGTTCAGAGTACGCCCTAGAAACGACAACGAAGGGGAAACGTGGTCAAAGGATGGGCCTGGATATAGATTCGGCTAGCCGGGAGCTAACTATATAAAAATAAACAAGACTGCAGTCGAGGGACTGATTTAATTTGGGTTATTTGCACAGCGGTGGAAAATATCAACAAAGTCGACTTTCAGCCATCATCACAACAGAGCCCGTACGATACCCATACAATCAGCTAAGGCCAGCTCAATAATCACCCAGTCCCAGTCTGACTCCACTCTAATTTCAAGGCACTCCCAAGAAGATCCCAACAAGACGATACCCAAACGTCCTCGCACTCACCCGGAGGCGTCCGGTCGCAGGTCGGGGTCGGGAACCACCACGCTGACCCCGGACCGGGCCGCCGGGGGCACATCTTTGAGCCGCTCCTGTACGGCCGTCTCCAGCTCCGCCAGACTAGTCTCAGAGGCAGCGGCCGGTGGTGGTAGCTCAGAGTGTAGCAGCTGACTGGCCGGCTTCTTAAACAGCTGCCGCACAGCGGGACAGGGGATCGGTGCCATGGTAACGAGCCGCAATGGGCAGTTAATCACGCTAGGACACTCCCAGGGAAGTTTATTATAAAACGTTGCTTCGATAGTTTGCCTTCAGAGCAGGAAACGATTTCAAAGGCAAGATACTTGACTCCATTGAATGCCTGACATGTTGTGACGGGCCGGTTGACGTCGACAGTCGCTACCCTCCCACACCTAAAAAATGGACTTCAACCGCGCTATCCTGGAAATTATCGCAACTGTTTCGAATTCTACAGTGTCTTTGTGTATCATCCAAATAACGGGAATGACACAGGTCAGAGACACATGCCAAAGGAGAGATAGCAATGATACTGTTGAATCTTCGAACGAACACATTCAATATAAAGCCATCCAGAAAATGAGCTTGAATTTCGCATTTCCCTGTAATTACTTCGTACCTCGGCTAATCATCGTTGCCCAGCGACCCAGGTCCGTTCTGCGGCCGTGCTCCGTACCTCCTTGTTCGGATTGATGATCAGCTGCCGGACAAAGTATTTCTCTCCCGGCGTGAACTTGGTGAAATGCAGAGCCGGGTCCGTCGGCTTCCCGGGCGCCTTGGACATCTCGGAGTGTTGCTGTAACGTTAATACAAACGTAAAAATGTTGTTCTTTTAACCAGGGCTGCGGAGTCGATGGAATTTAAGGTGACTCCGACTCCGACTTCAAAAATCGACTCCGACTCCGACTCTGGGCATTGCTCATAAAGTCCATATGATGAAATCAACTTTCATGTCGGAGATCTTTTAATCTTGCCTGAAGCGACCCTTTGCTCGTTCCAAGGCACTGCATTGCATTACAAATAAGTACCTTTTAAAGGGACCCTCCCACCTTAACATTAGTTTTGAGTTGAGATAGCCAAATTGGTGGCCATGGCCTGAAAATACCGGTTTGGGCATTCACAACATCGAAAAATGCTTTAATTCGGAGATATGGAATTTCAAACTTGCAGTTTTCGGATTCTAAGGGGCTAATGCATTGGTATGCCCCCTTAGAATTTGTGACGTCAGCGGAGATCTAACGATTTTTAAATCTTTTACTAAAACGTTTGGCAGCACGCGGTGGTATATGCTGCTTTGCGCGCAACAAATGCCGCACTTTCAAATAAAGTCGCTAGGAACAGCGGAGATCCCAAAAAGTAAACAAAAGTAAAAGTCTAATATCTTGAAAACCGGTGAATATTTTTCGATGAAATTTGGTAGATATTCATTTTTGCTCTTTCTGAACCGAGCGACATCACTTTCATGCCAATTCATTAACTTTTTTGAAGGTGGGAGGGTCCCTTTAAATAGCATAAAAAAATAAAAACAAGTTTTGACGTAGCAGCCGTCTTCAGCCTTTTTCAATGAAAACGCCCGTCAAAAAAAAAAAAAAAACGGGTTTGCCCTAAGCTTCAACAAACTCTTATTTTGAATGGTCAACGAGCGAAACATCGCCAAGAAACCAAGTGTAGGGCATGACTTTGAGCCATGCAGTGTGAACTCCGACTCCGGAGTCGGAAACGACTCAAACTCGGACTCCGACTCCGGGCAAAACTGCCGACTTCGACCAACTCCCACTCCCGACTCTGCAGCCCTGCTTATAACGGACACGTCATGAAGCTTCACATAAAAATTGTTTAAACCTGTTGCAATAGCCAGCTTTGAAGCCAAAAGATATTACACAATATAACTACATTCGACACGAAATAGCGAAATATGTGGTTATTCGATGATTACAATTTGTGATTCAATTGTTACACAGTGAACTACTTACCATGATGTGGAGGAACACATTGGCGAATGGGTTTCTCTTGATGGGCTCGTTTTTGTAGAGAAAGTAAAGGATGGCCGTGGCCACCACCCTCTGGTGTGGATGAGGCAGCATGTCGGGCTGCAGAATCAGGAACACGAGAGCATTGCCCACTGCAAATGAACAGAACATAATTCAAATATCTGCAGTGCAGTCTGCACACCACTAAAATGCCTTTATGAAAATGAGGCCTCAGGGGGAAATGGAAATCTAGTGTAGCAGGCACAAAGCAGAGGTCATCTTTTTGTATGCAGAACAGCCAATTGAGGTTACCTTTGAAGTGGTCCTGCTTGTTGAATGTCGAACAGCATTGTGCAGCTAGAGTTTCTATGGGTTGCTGTTCTGTGCTCTCCTCAGAGAGAAGGCTGAAATAGAAAAGGCTCATTAGAATATAACATTGTCGGCATGCCCTTATGAACTTTGAACCAGGCATGTTTGATTGAGCTAACCCCAGGGATCTAAAAAGTGAAACATGTCATTGAAAACAGTTTAAATCTCCAAAGCAATTATGAAAAGGGACTGTGAAAATATGCATTTAAAGCTCAACATCATTGGTTTTGGTATCCAGTACAGCCATAACCAAACCAAACCATGGATACAAGATATTTATGGGTTGTTACCCATTTCCTGTAGAGCAAGTGTAAACTGCACTTTTACAACACTCAGTTACAAGGAGCCACAAAATGATAAGACTTCATGACTTGCAGCAAAAGGCCCCAAGCTGTTGGATGTAGATTGTAAAACCTAGAAATAAGAATGTTGACTAATTATCAGTTATCACATCACCTTGAGTTGCACCCATTTATAATTAAGAACACCTACTCATTATGACATTGTGCGCATTGGATGAGTGCATGGACTTCAGTGCTGGCTCTGTGATCTCAGTGGAGCTCAAGGCAAGCTACAGAGGGGTGTTCACGGGCACCGCACACTGCTGCGTGCGGTGTGTGCGGTACGTCCAGCAGGCGTGGGGGTAGGGGATGGGTAGGCGGCTCTGACGTCACGGCTGCGTGCGGTGGACGGTCCGCTGTGGCCAGTCCCGACCGGCCACAGCGGTCGCTGTGTGCGGTGATGCAAGGCTGACGTAGGGACGCAGTGGGCGGAGCTTGGAGGCTGTGTGCGGTCCGACCGCACACAGGGTCCGTGAACAGCCCTCAGGTTGGGATCCATGCTGTCCTAGGACCTGGCATAAAACCAAGAACAAAGATCCCAGATCTGGAACCTATGGGGATCCCACAGCAAAAAACCTGTAAAATAATCATCCAAAGAAATTCCATGCTTTTAAGTGCCTGAGCATGGCAAAATGTTGGCTTTGTTTGCTTCATATCCCTGAAAGAGGGCCATTGGATAAGGTAACAAATGTCCTATAGGAACATCACATTCCTGCCTCCACAAAATCATCTAAGCATTTATTATCTCACTGGATCTGTTGACAATTGCTACTTCCTGATTCGCACTCATATCGAATCTCAAGACTCAAGACAAATTGGAATAGCTTAATTTATGATCACATCACATCAAAGATAAAGATCGCTGGGCTTATATAGAATCTTTATCCATATTTACAGACCCCTGCATGTCTATTATGTACAAACAAATGGACATGAAAACCTTGCTTCCAAATTGAAATAATTAATACCAACGGTCAAATGACGTTTAAATTTGGAATGTTATTCCTACGGAATTCACAAGAACCACAAATTAAAAAAGTATGAAACTTGATTGTAACCCACCTGAGGAGAGTAGATATATCCTTTGTTGACAATGCCATTGTAGAGGGAAGCTGAAGCATACCAGTAGTTCAAGTTGGTATTTTCGATCAAAAGGCATTCACACTTCAACAATAATAAGGCCACCAAGCCAATACCTAGCAATCCATCCCAGCAACAGTGCAAGGCCACATAAGTCTTGACATAAGTTAACAGCGTTCAACCGGTATATAGGGCCTTGGTTCAATCCTTGGTTCAATCGTAAATCAAAATTGAAATATTGCAAATAAAATTAATAATCTGTGTATCAAAATATCCCATCCGGTGCGAAACACTGCAAATATTTTTGTTGTTAATCATTCGTTTATTTTTGATCAACTCGATACGTCATAAGTAAAACCTCTTTTTATTGAGCTTGTTTGATAAATAGGCCTCATTTGATTGAGACTATCATAAAAATTATCACAACTATCGTATATTAAACAAAAAGGACCATATAATAAGTTATTTATATATATAAAATGCCTTTAAAAAGGGTTATAATTTTCTTAATTTGTTTATAACAATGACGTCATACACCAAGGATTTGAAAAGTACATCAACAGTTTGATGATCCTTGACTACGTCGGCATATATGGCGCAGTGGATCACAGTTGTGTTGTCCAATCCACATGGCAATCCACATTATTATTTTATTATTTTAATCCACATTATTATTTCTGCATTATTATATTTATTCACGACCCATTCCCAGTACCTTGCCCAGTACCAAATCATAACTACGGGGTGCAGATGTAAAGGCGAAACCCCGAACAGTCCATCTGCAGCCTGCAGGTGATATAATAAAGATTTATGTGGAATGTTTTCTTAATATTTCTTTTCCTGTTTCAATTTCTTGTAGAAAGATTCATTAGTGAAGGGATCGCTATCTATTCATTTTATTTTAGTAGACTGGGTAGTTTGGTATCTACCTACCTACCTATTTTATCATTATTAGTTATCAGCATTACCTATTAGTAGGTATCAGAACCCAATAATGATAACAATAAGCCAATGTCACTTCAGTTTATACAAATTGAAATTTTCACTCAGTTGCAGCAGTTAACCTTTTTATCACATGTTTCACACTTCATATCTGATGTCTCAAGAGTCAAGTCAGTCTTCTATACACTGCCTCTTGGTTTGTCTGTTTTGGATCCTACCCTTCAGTTCATAGCATAATAAATATGAGAGACAACCTTGACTCATAGCTGGCTTATATGCCAGTCAAGAGTGCAATTATAAGAGAGACTTTGACATAACGTGAGGATGTTCCAGTCCAAGTCCTTGTGGAAGAGCATTTTACCTAGATCTTGTCATTGCATAAACAATATCAGTCGGTGACACACCAGGGAAATAAGCTAAAATAAGAGCGCTCTATTTATTGCTCCCGCTACTTCACCGTCTCCCATAGGGTCCTGTGTTAAGCTGGTGTCGAGGCTCTAAAAATGACGCCGATTTTTGCACCCTTCTCACGAAAACCGCTCGGACCGCCTGGAAACTAATTGTTCCGCTCTAAAAATTTCATGATCGACGGGAAAATGAATGAGGAAAAGATTGGTCCTGAAATAATTCTGAACTCCCTGTAGAACATATCGAAATATGGCTGCAAACTAGGAGCATGTCAAAATCGACAAAACAATACAAATAAACTTACCGGGATTTTTTTATTTTCCATGCATCTGTGTATGAAATCAGTCGGTTTTTCGGAAAGATCATCTTCTGTTTAATAAATAATTCCACAATTGCAATCGAGAAAAAAAAACATTTCCGCTGTGACAGCAGTTTTGGCATTGTGCCAGTAGTGTGGCGTGCGCGGCGCTGCGTGGTCGTCGGGACGGAGTTGTGAGTATTTTCGGTGTTTTAAATGGTTGATGGCCATTTGAACCAGCTTTATATTATTTCCTACAAATTTTTGCATCAAATTATTGCTTTGAAAGACCATTGAAACCCCTTATCTCTTCATGAAACACGATCATATTCATCGTCGACGAAAATGGCGCGGGACTCCATGTGCATTCCGATCGAAATAAATCGTAAATTAAATAATATTCGATGATAAGTATCATATTCTAGTGACACGTTTTCATAAAATAAGGCATAAACTTTGCAAGGAAGTCAACATAGGATAATTGGATTCTTATTTTGCTCACATATCCTTGTAGTAGTCAAATGGCTCAATTGTTAGATAAATGTAAGTATATGTTTTGGCTTGATGTTTGCTGTGAAACCACCCAGCCACTTGCTGGTTGAGTGGTTTTCTGATAATTACCTGATAATCATTTCTCCTTTTCCTGAAAAGAAACTAAAATTCCTTTCAAAGTAATCCCTTTTTAGGAAAGGCGGATTGCTCATTGACATTTCATGTTCTTGTTTTGTTATTGCTGGCAGTATTTTGATACAATAATGCAATATGATTTTTTTTGCAATAAGAAAACCTAAGACAAACTTAGTTAATGCGTCAATCAAACACCCAACAGAAAGATTGTGAGTCCTTGTGACGTGAAGTAGAATATTCCATGAATGTGTTATATAGAATATGCCAAATATTAAATTAATTATTATTTGATACTGATAGCTGAGCATGTGAATTATGCCACAATATAATTACATTTTCTGGTTTTGAAATAGCCAGCAGTATTTTACTTCAACAAATGTAATATACATGGAATACATGTTGTTATGTTATGTTAAAAGTTTAATAACAGCCAATTGAAGGGGCTGTTTCAGCAGATAATGTTTGTACCTTATGCATTACCTTTCTTTTCTGCAGGACCATGCTTCCGCTGGGTGGTCGACATTTGCCTCCTGAAGAAGTTGAGCAACATGAAGACCACCAGATGAGGTGTCTGCAGTTCATGTGGAACTCTGCAGACTACAAGTGTTATGCCAACCACAACCAAAGTGCTGTGATCATGGAGGCATGAACCTCATGACAACACTTCAGATTTGCAGTTGAATCAAAGTGTGATTCAAACCACCTGTGGCATCTCACTCAATGTGTGAACAGTGTGATTATTGTGCAGTGTTCAGCTGCAACTAAGACATTTATTAGTGACTCGTTTTGCAATTAGCCACCAAAAGCATTTTTTGGGCTAGCTGCTGTAATTTGTTGTGCACTGCGCAATAGTGGTAGTGTTTTGTCACTTGTCAAGTTGTCAGTTGTGCATGTTGCATGTTTCTCTTCCCTCGGCCCTCATTATCAGTTAAGTGGTGAATTGGCATCACTCAGTCTCCCCAGATCTCCATTGACTGTCTGTCAACCACCCAACTTGAGATGGTATTTGCTAATAGTGTCAGAAAAGAAGTGATTGTAGACATTTTTAGGGATATGAGCTCCGTTTCATGCGTGTTCCAGTTGTCATTTTGTCACATGTCCCATAGTGTAATAAATGGAAACTGTTGTTCCCTTTTGAAGGTACTCGCGGATGCAGAAAGCGTTGGGCCTAATTATTAAACGCACCCTCCTATCAGCGACGCACGAAATCGACAAATATCATCCTTTCTAGAACAGGAGGAAACGAAAACTTGTGAACATAGCTGTACCTACAACAGTGCATAAGGAATTGAAATTCTGGGAGTTTTTGAAATTCGGAGAAACTCATGTTGTCGACAGGTATGCCCCCTTGCACGTCAAAGACCGCCTAAAAAAACAAACGTCTACAAATGAAGGCAGTATTCGTATGTTCGTTGTAATTGCAGCAGCCTAGCAACATGCATTGCGGCCCGATGGCGAATTACACTCGTGCTCAAAAACTATGCCGGTAACTGCCAATGCACTTAGGTCATAGGTGAGGAGAGGAAGGGTTATGTCATATGTCAACATCATAGAAATGGCTTCATCTGAGCTGTGCCTATTGTACATAATTCAACCAATCTATGCATTTCGTTTCTTGCAATCTACTCATGCCTTCACTCCAGCTTCAGAGTAATCATCCCATATTGTACGTATTGATTTCTATGGCGGTTTGCAATTGCTAGCCGCGTCTCACCTCAGTTTGGTGGCCCCGCATCGGCCGCGTATTTACAAATTGCAACCGAGCTCCGCCGTAGGGTATTTTATTTCCGCCGTAGTGTATTTCACTTGGGGGATTTTCTACCATACATCTGCCTGAGCTTAGGGTAATTACAATTTGTCGGCGACGTTCGAAAATGATGCACCTTTTTTCGCAGTATAGGATATCGCATGTGCATATTTCTGCCTTTTTGGGTGCGCTATATCGGTTTTTCGCGAGTAACTCGCGTAAAAACCGTCCGATCGCGACGAAACTTTCAATACCCCCGATTTTATCAATTTTACACCTACCCTGAAAATTTAATGACCCTGACCCAAATGACCTTTGACCTGTGACCTATTTCTCGAGACCATGTTTGGCCCGAATCGCGATTCGGCGTATGTCGGCTCGCATTAGCCGCGCGGTTGCAGTTTTCACGTGGTTTCAAGCGTTGAAACATGTGATATGATGCTGGTCCCATGCATTATGGTGGGTGTCAAGGTCACCTGAAGGTCAGGTCAGCTCAATGACCTTTGATGACCTCGGTTCACTTTTTCGAGTATTACATGTTTCTAGGCTAGTTTTTGGAGCTGATTTCGAATTTAGCAACCATTTGAACATCACAGCGGGTGTAACGAAATTATCCAGACACCTTTCTTCCCGCTGTAAAAGCAAAACAATCTGGTACTTTTTCTTTTAACTGAGCTTGTAGCCACCTTTCATAAAAACACAGTTTACTCACCTCGTTGGTTTCTGCATATCTTTGGAGTGGTTTCAAAGGACAGTCAGAGAGGAAATGAGGAACCCACACAGTGGCGAATGTTCTGGAGCATTTCAGCCAATGGATTCTCCAGCACACTGGCTTTGATGCGGACCACCGCCGTCTAAACCTGTGCCTGCGGTTGAGCAGTGCTTATGGCGGGTGGCTCTTCATACACCTCCTGCTGAACAAGAGCCCACAGGTTTTCGATTGAATTGGGATCGCGACTTTTTCCAAGTCATAAGCGTTAGCCCAGAATGATTGAAGGTTCTATCGGCATCACTTCCCGTTCTTTTAGGCATGGGTGTAGGAGCGCCAAAAATATTGGTGAAGGATGCCACCTGAACCTTATGAAAAGGGACAGGACCGTGCCAACCAACACGCACAGTGCAAGCGGGGGGGGGGGGGCGAATTTCGCCAACCCCTTGTTTTTTGCAGATATCTTACGCCCTTATCATCCCATTAACGTCAAATTTTCAATGCCTGCCTAAAACTGAATTGTGCATCTTGTCATGACAACAAGATGTAAATCAGGGCCTCGGCTAAGGAATTTTGACTACTGGGGCAAATGGTCAAAGTGTGTTAACCCGCGCCCTGCTGGGAGGGGGGGGGGAGGTTTTTGAACACCCCCCCCCCCCCCTGCGGTTTTCGCGGATATCTGAAAAACGGCGGCACCTTATCATCTATCAATTTTATACATTTTGTGAAAATTTCAGACCAGGGTCCTTCAAGGTCAGGTCACCAGGTCGCTACAAGTGACCTCACTTCATAAACACATCATAAAATGTTTCAATGTATGCCATAGCTACACCAAGTGACGGATCGCTTTGAAGCTTTCAGCAATTGATAAGTGCAACAGTATGTACAAAATTCGGAATTTTCATATCGGTGACCTAAGGTCGGGTCAATTTTGCGACCTCTCTAGGTATTATAAGTCAATGGGAGAAAATTCAAAACCGTCTTTTTCGGACAAAAGTCATTCTAAACACTCTCAAACACTAAATTACAAGTAACTTTGACACACTGAACATGAAAACGGCACCCGTGACCCCTGTTTATGCCCCTAAGGTCATCTCAGGTCACGAATGGTATCTAACAGTTTTTTGCGACTAACTTTTGAAAGAGGCATGCTAGAGCGATGAAAACGCCTTATATATGTTCAGCTCGACGATACAGATCCACTAATATGCAACATGACAATGTCCGGTCAGGTCATGACCTTGACCTGAGGTCAAATTTTCAAGTTGACCTTTCAAGGTCAAGTTATAGTTCATTCGATGCGTCTTGACGAGAGGAACTCGATGCCGGTAAAAGTAAGCTCGTACAAGGCTTGGGTCAAAAGTTATTGCAGAAAAACTTTCCGAAAAAATCGGCTATTTTTGCAGTTTTTGCCCCCTGCAGGCAAAACCGTTGACGTTAGGTCAAATCTGAGAGAATTACTCAGAAAGGGCGTTAATAGGGCTATCGAATGCGCTTTTCCGTGGCGCTGTAGCTCTATTGGTTCCCGAGCTATGCGTTGGTTTCTTGGAAATTGTCGACATTCGACCTGGAAATCGGCGAAATTTTGCCTTCAATGACCTCTGGTGACCTGACCTTTGACCTGACCAAAAAAGTGACCGAAGTGATTTCGTCATTATTTTTGGCGCTCTTTCGAACGCCGCCTTCTGCGTATCGCTACGTGGCCCAGGAGCCGAGTTAGAAGGGGGGTGTTCAAACACCCCCCCCCCCCCCCAGCAGGGCGTGGAAATCCAGGACCCCCAGCCGGGCGCGGGTTAAAAAACAGACATTTGATCAACCGTCGAATCCAGTAGTTCTAAGCATAGGTAGGTGAAGACCCTCCCTTGCATTGTCCAAGATTGGTGAAGGATCCTTCACCAATCTGAAACTTTGGTGAAAGGTATCCTTCACCAAAGAGATACGTTGCTACACCTATGCTTTTAGGGACTTTTAAGTAGCGCGCCGCCACGCATGAAGACAGCGTGGCTTGAATCAGGCATCAGTGCGCGTTCAGAAACCGTGCCCTCCTATGCCGTCTGGTTGAGCGCCTCCAATCATGCTCCTGACCACCTTCCCTGGAAAAGCTCCACCCTTGCCTATGGGGCAAAATAAAAGGGACAAAAACACAAAACAAGACAGATAAAAACAAAGCAAAATTAACTCATTACATAATGAAATTCAGGCTGGAGCAAAAACATAGGTAATAGGTTATGTCAAATTAGAATGAAAGATTGAAATCAACCTCACCAGGCCTTACGGTCCGACCGGGTCCTAACCACCTTACTTCGCCTAACTTGACCCAGTTCAACCTAGCCTACCACAACACCTGCAGAGTGCAGAGGTACCTTCCTGGAAAAATGACGCCCAGGGAGATGACTGTCCAACTTATTGAAACACTACCATGATTGCTTGTCAAAATGTGTGTCATCATGCTCTTGTTTGACAAGTGATGCATAATAAATGTGATATTCAATAATTACTCCTGACTGTTGACTGTTGTGTGCACTGCTATGTGCACCTAAGTAAAAAAGTGACTGGTGGTACATGACAAAAGGTTGAGCAACTGTGAAGTTCATGCCCTTGGTCTTGCTGGTGCCAAATGCCTATAGCTAGGATCAGTGAGGGTTGTAGACATGCTACATACATTGTGCATTGAAGATATTGGCACAAAGTTCATCCGTAATTACTATGCTTAACACCTAATGCAAGAAGCGACATAAATGCCCAGATGATAAAGCTCTCTGGTCAACAACACACAAATTTATTGACATATTTTGCAGGTACATATTTACATTCATGGCAAATACTTTCGATTTGATTCAGAAACTAGTTGCTAGTAAGCTTGCATTTTTGTAGGCACATCAACGACCATATATTAAATCATAAAAAACCTTCTCATGGCATTCATCAATACCTTTCTACCGAACAAGTACCTTATACCTAGCTTCCATGCAATGATTATAAAATTTGTCCGCAATCCATCTATATCTCGACTGACACAATGAATTTCAAATACCCTAACAACACCTATAACTGTACATAAGAAGAATGAAATACTACAAGAATTGTGAATTTATGAAGTTATTCTCACATGCGGAATGATGAAACTCTACTTTTGTCGTCCATTTCCATGTTTGATTGAGCCATCATATAGAACTGTTTCCGTTCTACAGTCACAAGCTTTCCCACAAATCTTGAATTTTTACACATCATCTTGAACCATGCTCCAGTCTTTCCAACAAAGCAATTTTGATTTGTTGCAACAGCTTCAGATCATGATATGCTTGAGGTTTGTTACACCATTTGTCAGACAAATCTCTACAAAATGTGTATCAATTCCCAAACTAAGTAATTGATCATATCAGTATTTGCAGTTTCCACACAATGTTTCATAATACTATTTTATGTTTATATAAAGAAACTCAAATAATCCACAAATTGTTATTGAAACACTCCCACTTCAAGAATTCACAGCAATAACAGTAGAAGTTCAGAAGCAAACAAACATTGCGCCACATTTCGTATGAAACGCGCCATCGCCCTGAAGTTTCTACCACAGACGGTAGTTCAACCGCAGCCGTAGTGCGAAAACCCCTGCCCACCTTACCCCACGGCGGAGCTCGGTTGCAATTTGTAAATACGCGCATCGGCCCACTCGGCCGCTCTAAAATTGACTTACGGAGGAGGATGGTGGCTTTTATTTTAGCTTCTCCGCTGACTGCGGGGAGCGCCGTCGCCGAGGTAGGAGCAATAATTAGCTTATGTTTGGGACTAATTTCCACGCTTAATTAACATTTTAATGTTATTTTTATTAATTCATGTTAATCTTTGATGCATTCTCTTTCTATTGATACCATCCACCGGTCTGAGAATTACTGCCTTGCTGCGTAAGGGCCGATAAAAGATCACGCTTTTAGGGGTATCTCTTCAACATGGGGCAGGAGCAATAAATAGAGCGCTCTAATTTTAGCTTATTTCCCTGGTATGTCACCAACTGATATAACCTGATGACCTTAAATGACAAATTCCAACCTGGAGTGAAGTGCTCAAAAAAGGTGCTTGGTCCTACTGGTAGCCAAAATAAAAATATTGATGACATACCTAATTAACTACTAACTTAAACATTGAAGTCAGAAAGGAAAGCAAGGGATGGGATGACATATTATGTTATAGCTCATCATTATCAGCTATATTTTCCATTATAACTGCAACATAATAATAAGTCTCATTTCATACTCTGTTCCAGGTGCCTGCCGGCTGCCTCTCTTGCCAAGTGGCTAGTGACATCCTGAAATACACTTTTTGAAGGATGTTATAATGAGCATTAAGTAGAGCATTTTATCTTTTATTTGGGCACATTCAAGATGTTTTATTTGCAGAATAACCACCAAAGCCTTGTTTCACTACTAGGAAAGCACTGTTTGGGCTTAACAGCACACCCAAGCGGCAGAGAAGATGAGTTGTTAGACTGGTGGAGAGAGAAGTTTGAGCTGTCCAGATGTTCAGATGTGAGGGTGCAGAGTGACAGCTACATCACTTGCTTGGCATTGGAGGACATTGAGCAAAGATAGTAAGTTTATTTAAAAGATTCATTTATTTGTTACTTGCCTTATGCCTTATGCATTAAAGGAAATAGTTCACTTTCACGAAATTATTTTTTTTGCAACGATTTATGATTTTTTATGTTCAAAATAATCAGCAAAGAAAATAAAACCTTTATATAACAAAAGATTTTTTTTCTATATTTTGATATTAGGAAGAACTTTTCAGTTTCTGTAAGGCACACGCGATCCAGTATGAAAAGAGCATGGGTCCCGAAAATTCTTCAGAAACAGAGAAATTATCGCAGCCACCGGCATTTGGGCGATCTGCTCGATCTGATAATGTTCCCCTGAATGTCCTAATTGATCAGTACGAGAATTTCTCTAGAGTTCTCGTAGATAATTTCTCTAGTTTCTGAAGAATTTTCGGGACCCATGCTCTTTTCATACTGGATGGAAATATATGCAAGGCACACATCCTCAACGCAAGACACCTTTTTCGGGACGAGAAATAGAATATCTTTGCCTAGGGTGATCGTTGGGCTGTAAAAGCTCCTGATTTATGCTCGTCTCAGCCCAAGCTACGGAACTGCTATTCCAGTTCAAAACCCATGTTAAAAAGTGAACTATTTCCTTTAAGTCTCATTAATTTGCTTAAATGTTTTGCAAAGTACCCAAATCAGGAGCAGTTACTTGTTGCATTGAACAAAGGCAAACTATTGTTAAAAGACGAACTCTAAACAACCATGCAAATTGTAAAATGCATGCCATTTGCACAATGTGCTGTATTTATTATCTCTGGTGTTTACTACATTCACACTGTCCACAGTCTTCTGTCTGGTGCAAACAATGGCAACATATTCATCCATGATCTCTTCAATCTGGCTGGAACCCATCATCATGCTGCAGAAGTGGTGGCGAAGCTGGACAGGTAAGCAACATGATTGGTGTTAGCAACTGGTAACTAACTATGCCGAAATTTTGTTCTTTTTAGCACATGTTTACTTTTGAGTAACCTCAGATCGCACAGCAATGTACCTTGTGCTTAGCTTTTAGGTGTGGTGTTATTTGTAGGATGCTTTGACATGTGTAATGTCATTGGTGTATACCTATCTCATTTGGCTAACCCCTCCATACAGTTAACAAGTCATTTTTTTTAGGGAGACCGGTCAAGGGGGACACCGGTCGGCAGTGGCGGACGTTAGCTGGTACCCGCTGGACACGGGTCTGTTCCTCAGCAGCGGCTCCGACGGCAATCTGCACGTGAGTCATAGATATAGACGCATTCTTGAGTCTGCTTAATGAACCGTAGTCCTTGCCACGTCTTGTGTTTTGCGAAATGTGTAGCTTTTTACGTAGCTCGTATGAACTTTGCATGTCCAATTGCTTATTCGGTCTTCCCTTTGTTTCCTATGTTGATTTGTATGCCGATTTTCAGGTGTGGGATACTAACTCGATGACGAAAAGTGAGAGTTTTCGTTTTAAGAACAAGCTCATCTGTCATGCGATGTCTCCTGTGGCCACAGCCCACTCCTTGATAGCAGGTAGGTGATATTTCTGCTTGCATTTTTATAGTATCATTTTTCAACGCTTATTATCATTACTCTTTTATTATCAAGTCATTATTTCTTTTATTATCAAGTCCCTACATTATCATTATCGCTTATTATCATTATTAGTATCATATACGCTTACTCGATACGCATGACGACAAAGGCTCCGATATTGCTGTGAACGACCTCGCCACGATCCTACCAGATACCGAAACCCCTTCTCTGATGATAGAGACGGAGCAGCTTCCTAGGTCGACAGACCTTCTGAAAAAGTATCGCGAGCTCTATCAGGAAATGCGGGCACAGTTTATTGCCCAGGGCCTGGACCGTGACCCTATGTCTGACCCTGAACTAGCGAGATACCTGTCTCGTGGGGGCAAAGGGAGCAAATAGGGGAATGGAGATGGGAGCGTTTTTTTTTTTTTTACTGCACTGTGTACAATGCGTGACCTGTCATTTATCAACGCTGTGTAGTTTCAGGTTGCACTTACGTTGATGGAGTCTTATCTTTTCTTTAGTCTGGCTTACATAGCTTTGGCAGAACGACTGACATTTGATATGTGACATCCGCTCGTAGCTAAAGTTAGTATAACTATTCTATTTTAAATACCTATTGCTTTCTGCAGTGGGTGGCGAGGATTCCACGGTCACCCTGTGTGACCTGAGGTCGGGCTCCAACACACACCAACTGCGGGGTCACGCGGCTGCTACCGTCGACACGTGCCGCTGGTCACCGGCCCACCACTACCTACTGGCCACCGGGGGACGCGACAAGCGGGTATGTTAGAGCGCAAACAGAGGCGCATGGCGTACTTTTGTCCTTACTGTATTGTGCTTTAACAATGAATGGGGTACCATCGTGGAGTCATCGTCCTTAGTTTTCATGAGGCACTCAGTCCGTTCGCGCATCGTGAATTGTTTGATTTTCATTGTATCTGCTTCCCAACAGCATTTGAAGGTTTATGTCACCATTTCTGTGTCGTATTTGACGTTCATACGTGCGTGCTGACGCTGTTGTTTTCTATTATGGACATGCTTACTTTATGCACTCCATGTGAACTGTTATCCCCCAATCGTGTTGACAGATTCTGTTCTGGGACGTGCGGTACGCCAAGAGTCAGCTGGCGTCACTGGTACGGAGCCAGTCGCGGCCGGACGGCGCCCACCGCGCGCCCGTCGCCGGTCTGCGGTTCCTCGCGGACGGCCGACACCTCGTATCGGTGGGCCGGGACGGGGCCTGCGCCGTCTGGGACCTGCTGACAGGCCGTCCGCGGCAGCTCACCGTGCCGCCACTGCGACTGGCCGCGGCCAACTCGGCCGGGCTCGGCTGCCAGCTGGCGGTCACCACACACGGCCGCCGGCAGCTGGCCTTCCTGCCCTGCGGCGACCAGGTGGTGACCTGTGACCTGGGTAGCGGCGAGCCCGTGCAGCGGCTGGACGGCCACCTGCGGCCGGTCACGGCGTGTCAGTATGACCGCCGTGAGGGCCGTCTGATCACCTCGGCGGCCGACGGACAGGTGCTGGTGTGGTCGGCCCAGAGGGCGGCGCCGCCGGCCGAGGACGGGGTCAGAGAGGGAGGGGAGAGGACCAATGGGAACAACGCCGACCATCTCATGAGAGACGAGTGGAGTGATGACGATTAGAGAAAGGTGCGGCGGAAAACCAACTGTGATACTCGTGTCCATTCGGTGTGTGTATTGAGTCACTGTACAATAAATCATGCGCATATTCACTTTGTAGCGTTAAGGATCTGGGGGGCCGCAAACTTGCATCAGCCGAACTTCTTGTGTTTACTGTGTTCATGTGTTGGTTAAGGTTTTGGTGAACAGAATTTGAAATAAAACAATTCCCAGGGAAAGCAGTAAAAATAGAGGATAAAACCGATGTAATGCACTCGATTAGCTGCGCATTAGAATTTGAGTGAACAGAAAACCATAAAACCTCTTAATGACTCGCACCGTTGTTTCAAACTGCATGCATTCACCATGCTATCTATCTGCATGCTTTCTTGTATTTTGATCCTTGATAAATCGCCGTGATGCTTGAAACGACTGGGCAGGATTGGGGAAAGGCTATAGAATGATTGGACAGATAGTCATTGAAAATGATCGCCAGAATAATTTAGTTACGGCATCTTTCCGGCATTCGGCGCGGCTGACACGATCATGATTCCCAATGATGCTGAATACCAAGGAAAATACACACGACGAGTCATTGAAGGTGTTTGAGTGGGCTTTCTTGATTTTTGCTGTTTATTGATTGGAATAAAGGTGAGTATATGTTGTTTGATGTCTGAAAATTAAAGAAAGCTCCATGCTTCAATATGCATTGGGTGTTCACTTGGTGCCAGTGCCAAAATAAGATTCAATTGCAATGAATTAAAGGGACTGTCCCACCTTAACATTAGATTTGAGTTGAGATAGCCATCTTGATGGACGTTCTTTGAAAATCAGTGCCGTGAAAACCGTTTCTCCAGCAATTACTTCATCGCAAAGAAATTTGAGTTTGATTTTGACATCTGTGCAAATAAGTGCCACAATGTATTGGTATAGGCACTTAAATCTGATGACGTCATCAGGCTTTCGAACGTCCGTTAAATGTTTGACTAAAACGTTTTGTAGCGCGTATATATCTGCATATTTACGTCTGGACAACGAGTTGCGTTGGAGAGGCCGGAAATAGTGGCGATTTCAGGACCGCAAGAATGGACCGTCATTGGAATGATTCTTTTTAAACCGTGGACTGATTTCGGCCGGAATTCAATAGTTACTACAAAATATTTTGTAATTACGTTTCAACCAAGAATGAATGCCATCAGGGCTAAATTTTTACTTCTATTGCATTTTGTCAAGAAGCATATAGTGCTGTTATATTGCAGTTTTGGCGCGTTTGTTACAAAATATGAAGCGAGTAAGCGTCAGTGTAATTCATTCAGTGCAAGGCCGTATATTCAGTGCCAGAAGTTAACTTGAGGGGAAGCTATGCTAATTGCTCTTGTCCATCCACTGAAATTTATTAAATATTTTGCTTTGTATATTCCAAAAGGAGAGGGAACTATTTCATTTGTGCCTTTATGTCAGAATTGAAGGTGGATCATTAAATTTTCAACGCAGTTTACAAACAAGCATTTTAATTTGGTCTTTCTCGTATATAAGCAGTGGCTAAGAAAAGGTTGATCAATCCTGAAGTTAAGTCATTGTACCTCAACTTGGCAGCAAGATCCCCCAAGGACAGAGGATATATTGTATACATGTCCTGTAAATCAAAACAAGCATTTGGTCTTTCTCGTATATAAGCAGTGGCTAAGAAAAGGTTGATCAATCCTGAAGTTAAGTCATCGTACCTCAACTTGGCAGCAAGATCCCCCAAGGACAGAGGATATATTGTATACCTGTCCTGTTAATCAAAACATTTTTGTGCCTGCAAAGGCTTAAGCTATCTGTGGTGTGTTCGGAGTTCAGTAGGCGGAACTATGGTCATGAGTACCCAAATATAGGAACGTTCCCATTTTTGGGAACGGAGTTCCCAAATATGGGAACGGGCGTTCCCATTTATGAGAACGGAAGGCAATTTTTCGGCCGTTCGCCCACTAAAACTCAAAAGTGCATCACGTCTCAAAAAAGTGCACGCTGATTTAAGTATCTACTAAATTTCCATAAAGTTATCTTTAATCTGACCGTGGAACAAGGAAATTGACCGTGGAATGATATTTTTAATGATTTTTTAAAAATGACAGAATGGTGGAAATATGGGTTATACGACATTTAACATGCAATTTTAAGGAAAATGAAGCATTTTTTACATTTTGAGGTCAAGTATAATAATTTTCGCCTGGTTATGAAGTTTCATTCTAGCGACACCAGATGCTGACATATGCAAGCGAACACGCGGACAGTCCCGAGGTAATATTGTTGACTTTTGGTGTCGGGGCGATCGACCGCGTGGAACGTCAGTGATTTTACCGAACTACTGTTGTAAACTCAGTTTCAGTGGTTTAAAATCATTCAGCTGTATTTTATCAGCCCTGAAAGACATATTTTATTTGGATGCTAGCTGTTTAGCGTTGTTTTATAAGCAGCGTCATGAGCGTGGTTTTTGTCTTCGGCGTTTCTAAGCATGATCGTTTGGTGGGAATTTCTCTGATATAGGTCGCTCTGTGTGGCTTATTTATAATTTTTATGCTGATTTCGATCATTCCTCGTGCCCATCCTACCAGGCCTTTTGCCACTTACACTCATTAAGAAAGGAAAAAACTAGATTTTCATTGGGACTAGGTGTTTTGAGGGTGTAACATATTCAGCGTTCCCATTTTTGGATACTTCTTGTGCTCTTCAACTCTCGGTGATTAGCAGACAGGTGCTTGACATGTCTCCACCCTCGGCGCGGACGGTGGATATAGGTATGGAAGACCTTGTTGAACATTGCTGAGCGTTGTGGATTACGTAATCCTGCAGAGGGGGGCGTGCCCGCTGCGAGATCGACGGGAATAAAAGCGCAGAAGACCGGGCGAAACATGCAACGGTCTTGCCGGAAAGGTCATCTGATGATTGTTGCGTTAATAATAATTTGCGGCGTTGGACGTGATGCTTGTTAATGAAAAGAGCCCCTGAAAGGCGTCGGTGAAATCGTTCCCAATTTTGGGTACGCCGTTCCCATAATAAGGAACGCTTGCAGCGCCAGTGTACGAGAGCGTTCCCAAATTTGGGCTCGCGGCCCGGGTGATGGACTGCTTTAGAAATAGGGGAACGATTTGTAACTACGATGGGCCTTACAATATCAAACTCTTTCCCAACAATATTGAGACAACTATCAGGCGGTTCACGATCGTTTTATATTTTTTGGACGTCATTTAACGGTTCTTTTTTTTTGTTTTAAATAATGCCTACATGGCGTTCCCATATTTGGGTCTATCGTTCCCAAACATGGGAACGAAAATGCGTTCCCGAAAATGGGTACGCTTGACCATAGTTCCGCCTACTGAGTTAGGCCATATGACCGTTTTTGTTGTATGTTTATGTGGAGATAGAATATAACTGTGACCCTGTGCTTGTTTGTATACTTACTATGGTCAAACAGTGAACAGCACATTCACATAACATACTCACCTAGCACCTAACTCATAGCTGTACCCTGCAGGATCTGTACTTGTTCATGTCTTGAGCATTAACAAAGCACTAAAGTAGCTTAGTAATCATTTCCCACATTTTCTGAGCATCTAACATGACATACAGCAGTGCAGAGCAGCTTCAGAGAAGAAACACTTTAAATGCACAGACTCACACCAGCCACCCAATGAGCCAGTTCCTCAGTTGACTGTTTCCCTGGATGCAGCTTGGCAATGTGAGCTAACTTTTGGCAAGTTGAAGGTCAGCAGGTAAGATTGAGTTAGGGTGAGTACCTACCTATAACTGGGTGCTACTGCTATGCAGGTCTTGGGTAGGCTGCAAATATGTGCGATGATTGAGGTTAGGTCAGCTGTCAGGTTAGTCAGGAGTATGCTCATTGCTCAGGTCACATTTTTATGGACACTTGGCAAATTAAAAACTAACAATCTAATCTAAGCTAACCCGACTAAACATACACAACTACTGACTATAGGAACTAAGCACCTACCTACTTGTGCCTACATCTCATACCATGTCAAAGTAGAGTTCCTTGGTGGAAGATTACCCTCAGTACTTTTTATCCCAGCCCTGTGAAGAAAACTAATACTTCTAAGCTCTGAATCACTGCTGGCCATCCACAGGAAGAAATGCTGAGACTGAGAGCTTTGCCATGGTATATTGGACCAATAATCACTATCACGAATGACTATGAACACATTATATGATCACATCGTTGCATGGATTGTCACATTGACAATTCTACTACAATCCTTTTTCAAGAAATACAGTGATGATTAACATCAAAATCAACATAAAGTGGATTTAGTGATCCAAGCTTTCTCCTCCAGTAGCAATGGAATGATCGCATGTTTCATTTGCCAGACACTGAGTACCTGATGCACATTACAATCTGCATAGCATGAAGCATCTAAGCTGCCCAAGTCGATTCATTCTAGATTTTTAACTTGAAAGTTAGCACTAATTTATCTTGCTGTTGTAAGTTATAATTCAATATCCATACCAATACACCAATATGCACTCATCAGTCAACATTTTCTGGCATGATCCTGCTCAGCGTGCTCTTCAGTAGGTATTGCTCCAAGGTCTGCAATATTATAGCTTGTTTTTGGCCAATAAGCTCTTTTAGTTTTACTTTTTCTTGCTGATATATGAGCCCGATCACCTTGCGTTTATTAACCAAAGTCCAAAATTTCATAACTTGTTCAACTTGATATTGATATTGCTCAGGAGTCAGGACCTCTGTCAGCCTCCTGGATCCTTCGGATTGTTTTCAGTCAGCATGCTTCTTAAATATGATATAAGTCAATATTCAAAACATCCAACAAAACGATGTACAAGAGTAAGAAAACCACCAGATAAACTAAAAAATGGCCTTGGAACAGAGCCAAGTGGTGCACCATTTGTTTGTTTACAATGATTGTAGTGCTGATGTATTTTTAGGACTCTGAACGTCGGCTTATAAAAAATGAAACGTTTTTTACAAAAGTTGTAAGGCAAGTAATATTTATCTGAAAGAACTAAAATATTCAAAAGCCAAACACTATGAAATACATGAATCGGAACCAAAAAGTAACCCAAAAATCCAGCCTAATCACCGGCTCCTAAA